GATAATAAAAGGGAGTGATTTCCCAGTGAAGAATAGGCTTGACAGAAAATTTCCTGCAGGTACTAGTTTCTTCATCATGTACTAGTGGCTGAGTCGGATGTTTTTGATCAATTAGATTTTATACACTGTTACAGCCATTATTGTCAGTAAGTATAAAGCAGCCTTCAAAAATGGGTGAAAAATAAAAAAGAGGGAGTCCAAGAATGGTTCATTTCAAGAGATCAGACAGCAAATTTGTGTTGTTCTGTTCCGGTTTGACTTTGTAACTTTTTAATAAAAATTATTTTCGGCATAAATTGCAACTTATAGTGAGAAAGGCAAAAATCACGTCAAGCTAGACCCCTGAACTTTTACCTCTAGGAATGGCGGAAAGGGGCAGTTTTGCTAACTGCTCTCTACCCCCCTCCTTTTTTTTTCTTACTTGCTTCTCTGTTTTTGCTTTTCACTCTGAGTTGGGAGCTTTGTTCAGACAGACTTTCCCTTGTGAATGGTTTCAGTTTCAGCAAATTGCCATTCTGTGACACCCCGCCAAATAACTACCTTGGAAAATTCCCAACCATCTTTAGTCTGTACACTGGAGCACATTTAATTTCTGAATCCTCAGCTAGCTATGACCAAACTATCCCTGGGCATAGCTCCCTTGGCTCCAGGGTATCTCCTCTGCGAGGGAGCTTGGCCCCACAGTACGGTGAGGGAGTTTGTATCAGAGGAGAGCAATCATTTTGGAGGTGAGATACAGTCTCCATTTAAAGCTGGGGAGGGTAGTATGCAGCAATTTTGACAAGAGCAGGGTAATGATATTGTGTCTAGTTTTGATTTAAACTTATTTGCAATGCTCCATTTAAAAAACTAAAATTATTCTTATTTTATAGGAAAAGATTAATTTTTTATTTCTGATGATTAAGTGCAGGCAATCCTCCAAACTTTATGGCTCTATGATCTTCACATAGACAATCTTGACACATTTAACAGTGTTTGCAAAAATACAGAGTCATTACAAAATTTTAAGAAGAAAAATATAAATATCGGCAATGCCAAGTTTTTGTAAAAAATGTCATTTTCTAGAGAGGATTGACAAACTTATCTATTTTTTCACTAAGCGTAATAATAAATCTATAAAGTGAAGAAGATACATATTGAGAAGCAGAAGTATTAGGTTCCAACAAGCTTGGTTAGACAACACAGGTTGATTCTTCAGTTGCACATTATGAACCTCTTGATGACTGATTCTACTCAGATCCCCCCGAATGTGATCTTGACTTAATTCTTTCTCTTTAAATTTACACTGGCACAGCTTACACAAAAGTTCTGAACCATGTTTTGACTGATTTTTTTCTTCATCTTACCTCACATGGTTTCTGTGACCTATAAGACTAATAAAAATAATAAAAACAATGGTAAAGCTATGCCTGCAGAAGTTTTACTTCAGTCCACCAATGTCAAAATACCATTCTTAGCAGTCCTCATTCACTCTCACGTGGTTAAAGATTTTTGCTTCATGCCTTTCTGGTTAGAGATGTCTTGTTAGAGAACTTTATTTTGTGCATGTCATAGAACAAATATGTTTTTCATGACATTTATGAATGTGACCAGTCTGGGAACATGCTGTCTGTCTGATCGGGCTTAAGCCAAAATTTAAGTCATTGTAACTAGAATTTCCAATTCTGGTGAGAGCGGATATATCAGCTGGGGTCAATAAATTGGCAGTCGTCTTTTATAGTATGAAAAGGTAACTTTCTTTCTGCCTTACAGGAATTGTCAGGACAAGGTTTTCATTATCTGAGATGTTAATCAGAAGGACTCCTTTTACTTTCCTCTGCCTTTTCATTAATCTAGCCCTATAAAATTTATATTACCTGTAGTATTACAGCAAAAAAAAATTCATCTGGCTTTTGAATGCCTGTCACAGAAATCGTTTTTGTCCTGAAGTGCAAAAATGAAGCGTATAGCATCAAAACATCAAAGAATTACAGTTTTATGATGTATTAAGCCTGCCTGTCTTATTTCAGCTATTCTAGCACTCTGAAATACGTGATTGAGAGCTGCTAACTCCCAATGATATGCTCTTGGCAAGCAGACTTGAGGTTTTTTAATATTTTATTTTAATTATTTTTAGTTTATAGCTCAGCAACTCGGCTGACCCAGGGGAACACTTAAAGTAAATTTGATAGATGTCAAGTTAGAAAAAATAAAGACAGCAGTGTTCTTTCTCCCTGCAATTACAAATGTTTGCTGGAGACTTTTCTGACAGTATTAAGCATAGCAGAGACCTGGGGAGACCAGAGAGAGACGTCGTACCCCTTTGCTAAGGTTGATGTTCTCCAGAACCTGGAAGGGGAGGAGAACTAGGACACCTACCAGTAGCAGTTGCTCGTAACTCCAAATAGAATGGGTTTGCTTTCTTCTTTGCCTTTTGCCTGAATCCTGATGTGTCTTGCATCAACTGCTAAAAAGAGAGTGCTTGTTTTTTCAGCTGACATTTGGAGCTGCGGAGACCTGTGAGATGCCCCACAGATGGGCTTAAAAAAGTCCCCCCCTCCACAAAAAAGGAACAACAACAAAAAAAGGGTAGACTTAATGAGCTGCAAAAAAGTGAGAAAATGCTCCAGGAAACCAGGCAAAAGCTTGCTTGTGACAGCCGACCCGAAAAACATAGAAACAACAACAACAACAAATATATTGACTGTTTTCTAGTCCATTTTTCCCCTTGTAAACCAAAAATATGAAGATGTTGTAAATACAGTGATGAAATCAGTGAAAAAGAGATAAAAATTAGTCTTTACAAAGTTCTATAAGTATTATTCAGAGGGGAAAAATGTTGCATATCTCCAGTATAATATACTGGCTAGCTGCATCAGGGAAAAGGAATGGGCTTTCCAGTCTTCTATCATTAGATCACTGGCTTAAATCTGTTCTAGGGTTTTCATCCAAAGCTCCATGAAATCAGTGGGAGTCTCATTACTCTGAATCAATATGCAGGTACACGACAAGAAAGGACTAATAAAAATTATTAGGAGGGGAAAAAAATAATTTTTGTATGTTATTTTGATAATGTTTAGAGTTTTTTTTCAAGTGGAATAAGGGGAGAAAATTCATAATGGTCTGATATTTGCAAATTTTTTTTTAGTATTTGTTTTTGGGTGATCTCTACTCCTGTAGATTCACTTCTTACATTATGTCACTGGAAAAGAAATGGAGGCATGGGCTGATAACTAAAAAAAGTCAACTTTTACCCGAAGGTTGGAAACCATCTTTATTTCTGCTTTTCTTTTTATAATGAAAAAAATAAGAATTGGATCTATGGGAGTGAATCATTTTTCCTACTGAAAGAAAAGGCTAAATAAGAAATGTTGCACAAATTGATATCATATGAAGCCGTTTCATGGTTCATGTGAATTCATCTGATGCTTTCTCAATTTAGTGAATTGAGCGAGACAGGATTGCCAGCGGGGGTGCCCACAGCACAAAGCTAAATATCTAAAATGCCCTGAGTCCTACATCTTTCTAAGGATAAAACCTGAACTACATTTTCCTGCTGGAGATGTCATGTCCTTTGTGGGAACAAAAGGTGATACTACAGTTGCTCAAGATTTAAAGTGTTTTCATTCTCTGCTTTCCAGATTTTAAAATTAACTAATTAATTAATTAAAGAAATAAATTTATTTTTTACTAATTTTAATATAAACCCTTAACTGAATGGACAGATATTTTTATAACACATTGGAGAATATATACTTAAAACAAAATGCAAATTGATTTATTTCTATAACCATAGAGGGCAAGAGTATTCCCTCTGTATTTTTCTTCCCAGCTTTCAGACAAATAAATCAACACAAGTGTGTGTGTATATATATTTGCAATACTTGGTAAGAAAAAAGTTGAGGTCATCTGAATTATTTCATAATCAGGCAGGTAAAGTGGCTTAGCAGATTATGAAACCACGTCGCCGCCAAATTGTTCCATGATGATAATTATTTGCTTCTGTTCTTTAATTCTGGGTGGGCAACACTGCTTTTCCTCTGTCCATTGGAAAAAAAAGCAGGATGGCTCTCCCTATGGTTTTTGGCTTAACTGCACACATCTGGGTTTTGTATCAAAAGAAATAAATATCAGACCTAATTAATCCTCTGAGCCTGCTGGGTACTGACTCCTGAGCAACACAGACTTTAATTGCAGCTTCAACCAGGCATAGTGATGGAGTCAGTTGCAGAAGGCTGACTGCTGATTTAATGCAGTATATCATGTCTAAAAGTATCTGGAACAACACTGATTTACATCAGCTGAATATCTGGCTCATTTGAGACTCTCTTGGGAAGGAGAGGGGGGATGCCTATATACATACATTTACCCTAATATGTTCAGATGCAATATGCAGCAGAATGTATTGCAAGATGGTTATGAAATCCAGGGAATTTTTGTAAACATAATTTGCTGAGATTAAAATGTTGAAATTGCTTAACTGGAAAAAAGATGTGATTATATGTTCTTTCAAGAAATGCAAACTACTTACTTGATTTACTAGTTCTTCATAAAAGTTTATTTATAACTGATAACATATACAATGATTTTATCAGAAGATAAAGTTCCTGCATTTCAGAAAATGATGGCAGTATTCTGATTAGTTTTTCATTTTTCTAATTCAGATAATTTAGAGATAGACTTGAGGGATTTAGTTGAACAGCAATAAAACTTGCAGGTATGGGGCCTGAAACATGTTTTATAATTCAAAAGCTGTCTATCCCTCTTTACCCCTTTCCCCTTTCTTTCTTTCTTTCTTTCTTTCTTTCTTTCTTTCTTTCTTTCTTTCTTTCTTTCTTTCTTTCTTTCTTTCTTTCTTTCTTTCTTTCTTTCTTTCTTTCTTTCTTTCTTTCTTTCTTTCTTTCTTTCTTTCTTTCTTTCTTTCTTTCTTTCTTTCTTTCTTTTCTTTTCTTTTCTTTCTTTTCTTTCTTTTCTTTCTTCTCTCTCTTCTCTCTCTTCTCTCTCTCTTTTTCTCCTTCTCTCTTCATTTTTTTTTTTTAAGACTTCTAAACCATTTTGATTGCAAATATATGAATGAATTCAGAGCAAATAAAAGTAAAAAGACTGTTAACACTGGCTTCGGTACAACCAGGCTTTCTGCAAACTTCTCCCTGTCAACATACCTCAGGTCTAGCTTGCAGTAAACCTTGTTAATTCTAGTCCAGGATTTATCTAGCAAAGAGCTGCCGATGGTACCAAATCATGTGGTCAATTTTTGTAATGAGGACTAATGAGACCACCATACTTATTTGGCCTCCCAGCTAGAGCCTGAACTGGAGCCAGCATCCCTCGAGGTTCAAACCTGGTGTCTTAATCCCCTGCAAAAGTCCTTCTGCCTCTCCCATATGCCATCTGAAGTCATAGCCATGAATCCAGGCTGGTTTTGTTGTGCTAGGCAGAGGTGTGTTTACATGGTCATCCATCTATTGCAGGATATTATTTTTCCAGTGGAGAATATTTCAAATATTTCCAATGAATTTTTTTTTTCCTGCTTTTTTATTAGTATCATAAAAATAAAAAAGGAAAGAATATCTATATTAAAGTAAGAAAAGCAGAGAAAATTAAGAATTTTAAGATGAAGCTGATGCTGATACTTGCTCCACTACATGATGACCATGGCCCTGGTTGATGCACAGATCCTAGTAAAAAATCTTACATTACATACAACATTTTCCAAAATTCCTTGCATGTGTCTCAATTTCACACTTTTACATGCATATGCCATGTGAAGACAAAGCAAGAGAATCCTCAAAAAGGATAATTAAAATAATTACAATTAACATTGGTGTACAAACTTACTTTCTGAAAATACTTCATAAACACTAAGGGACAGATTCATAGGAGCAGCGTCAGGAAATCAACAGCATACAGAAGTGATTCAATTCTATAAATCTTCCAGAATCACTGCTTTCTTGTACCTGGTCTGTATGTGTTATTTATGGAACACTCCAAGATCTGCCATTAACTCTGTTTTCAGTTTTTAAAAACCTTTGATAAAAGGAAGAAGCAAAATCACAGTTATCTAAACAATAGTTCCCATTGTTGTTAGGCTACCAAAGACTTTGTGAAAGAAAAGCAAATGGCTGAAGAAAGGTCATTACCAGGAAGCACTTCAGTGCCATCAATCCTGCTCTATCAGTCCTCCCCAGCTGATAAGACACTCTTTAGAACCTTAGGTCAAGTTCTTCTTACTGTGGTATCTTCAGACGCTCACTGACATGCTTCTGTTCTTCATGTCTGTCTGTAGGGTTGTTTTTCTCTCTTATTTTTTCTTTTACTTTAGTAAGTGTAAAAACAGGAGAACGTAGCCTCATTGGCTGTGCTTTTCTCTATTAAGAATGAATCTTCTACCAAGAAAGACCAAGGACAACTTTTTAATATGAGCATGCAACACCCATATTTGTACTTGAACGCTCACTCTACATTTATCAGCAATATGTGTGTCTGGTTTTGGTGCATACAGAGAATATGAAATTATCTCCTGACCACTTTTCTCCATGAATGGCATCATTTTTTTTTTTTTTTACCTCTATTCACACACGAAAACACACAGATAAAATTGTGTGCTTGCGAACTAGAGCAAAAGGTACCCAAGACTGCAGCACTTAATTTTCCTTCTTGTTTACTTATTTCTCCAGCTATTTATAGGGTCATGCAACCCACAATCATAGAATCATAGAATCAGATTGGTTGGAAAAGACCTTTAAAATCAGCAAGTCTAACCATTACCCCAGGACTGCCAAGACCACCACATGATAAAAATGTCAATAATATGGGTTCTGCAGTAGTTCATTCCACCTACTCTTTGTCATTCTGAGCTAAATGAAAACCCGTCATACTAATGAATAACTATTTGGATTCCCATTACAACAATATCTGTTTACTTTATTGCTTCTACACATGTATTTGCCTGATGAGAGAGATGAAATGACCCTATTTCACAGGTGGAGAACTGGGCCAGTAGAAGCTAACAGAAAGGCAGTTTAACTCAAATATATACTTGCAAATGAATTACCAAAATACAACATAAATATTACTTGTTGTGAAACCACAACTTAATGTAATCTGGGGACATTCCAGCTGGACACTAGAGGCCAATTTTTCACATGAAAACTATCAGCCACTGAAACAATCACTCCAGGAAAGCGACGGGCTCCCCAGCACTGGGTACATTTAAGATTCAGGTGGACAGGGTGCTGGGACATCTTGTCTACACTGTGCTTTTGGCAAGAAAGGTTGGACCAGATGATCCTTGGGGTCTCTTCCAACCTGGTGTTCTATGACTCTCTGATTCTCCTCCCTCTTGTCCAACATGGCATTTCAAGAACTATTCCATGTGGCTTACAGGTTGGTGTGCAGGGAGGGATAAGTGGTATGAATGAAGGCCCAGAGTCTTGTTCATGAACCCAGCTGTCTTCAAAATTAACTTTGATTACTCTCTGTTTTTGTTTTCTCTCTATAAACAACACTGAGAGGAGAAGGCAAAGTTTTGATCAAATTCATGTAACAGAGGAGCAATGCAGGTTTGGCTTACATGGGGAAAAGTTATGTTTAGTGAAGTGAAATATTCATAAGAGACTTTACATTTCTCAGAGCTGCTTAAATAGCTCAGAAAACCCCTCTGATTAGGCATTTTGCTAATAAAAGATTACTGTTTGTTTAAATAGCTTTTAAATGTCAAATCAAGGATTTATGAATTCAGAATTGAACGCAAATAAATAGTTGGCTGAGTACTTGGAACAAATTCTTTTTTATTGTGCAATTAATATTGCTGAGATTGCTATTTAAAATGTGAATGAATTTGTCTTTCTGGTTTGCACATTATTGGTAACGATGGTGAAGACAGAACTGAAAACACTTGCTGAGATGTAATTTTGGCAAAGGCCAAAAGCTGGGATGAGAGAGGCTGGTTGAACACCCTGTGCCTTTGGAACCAGTCTTACTGCACTGAAAAGCACTCTATTCTTCCAGCAGACATGACTGTCGGTCCAATTTCATCCTGCTTATTCAGCTAGGAAATATGTAGCTCAGGTGGGTCTGACTGTGATCTAATTCTTCTGAGAGAGACTTGTAATACTATTGCTTTGCTAAAAGAAGCAACAAGAGGCATTATTACCATTAAGAGCTGGTAAATCCTTTGTTGGTTGTACACTGATTATCTTCTTGTGTAAACAAAGAAAACAGGTGGATGCTTCTCTCAAGGTCCCATTTTAACAACACTCAGACACATACCTGAGGCTTAAAGGTATGTTCAATCATTTGCAGTTAAACATGTGATTAAATAATATTCTGTCTGAAGATAGCTTGCTGAATTGGAGGTCAGGCTGCAATTCTAGTGTGTTTCTGGAGAAACAGAGACAGATTATGCAGGAAATTAATTGATAACTATTTCATAAGGTGCCGTCAGGATTGCAACTGATACAAATCAGCATTGCTCAGTTGGTTTTGGGGATGGACAGGTTGGCTCAGTCTTTCAACTAGTTTATCCACCAGGGATAATTAAGAATAAAATGGCAAAGCTGTTGGGTCTCTCATGTGTGAACATGCAGTTGCTTTAGATTATGTCTCTTTATGTTATAATGCATTTGCCAAATAAGGTTTAGAACAAATACAGCCTTTCACATTTTCATTGTCTTATCTACATAGAGATTGTCTCAACCAGATGTAATTTAGAAAGTGGAGGAGGGTTTCATGGTTATTGGTTACATCACACAAATCCACTTGAGAAACAGTTTGTGAATGTTAGAGTTTGGCACAGATTTGGAAAATTTCATATCCCTTTGGCAGAGGAAGCTGATTAGAAATACTCAGTGATCAGATTTTCAAAGATGTTGAACCTCTACAGCTCTTCACATTTCCATAGCTGTGCTCCAGGGTTTAACATGGCTGAGAATCTGTTTGTTATCATCTATGTGTTTCTTTTATGACTCTCTTGGTAAAAATGAATCTCTGTAAAATGCATCTTCCAGAGAAGAATGTCTGGCCAATTTTGCCTGTGCCCTTTAGGAGTACACTCATCTTAAATCCATCGTCATTCCTACTGGCAGCCCCAAAATTCACAGCCTCCACCAGTTAGAAACTTACAGGTCTATCTACACTTCTGTTTATGTAGCTTTTGAGCATGAATTTTTATGAGAAAAATTAAAGATTTGTGCTGTGAGCTTAATTTTTTTGCTCTGTGGACAAGACATTGACATCCACTGAGCTTTAGCTTTAAAGAGGACTTTAATCCAAATGTCTGCCTCTATTGTTACGGAACATGTAGTAAGTTACTGTTTTAGGATACTTCAGCTCATTGATCACATGGATCAGATGGATACACAGATACAACATACGAAATGATTGCATAAGCTTTATATCCCTAGGGAGATCAGCTAAAAAACACTTTGAAAGGAACAGACTCACTTACAAGCAGTTGTATAATTGAAGGTGAGATTTCAGATGGACTGTGTAGATTTGGCTTCAGCCAGGAGTGGTTTGGCTGTATACATGAATGCCAAAATACACTTTAAAAAGGTGTGAAATGGAAAAATCAGAGCTTTCAGTAATATATAATTAAGCTAGGAGAGATGATTATACATATCTAATCTGCCTGCTCAATCTAATCTGCCTGCTCAATATACTACATGCTCTATTTGTCTGGGGCATATGTTTTGAAAAAATACTTCCAATCATATTTGCAAAAGTCCACTGATAACTTTGACTTTTTCTACTTAATTTTTTTTATTTTTCATCATAATAATTTCTTTCTTTTCTATTATGTCTTGATTATAAATAAGGCATTCTGGCGATAGGTGACAGAACCACTCTGGGCCAGATGTGTTGGCTGCTTATGACGGGCTTGGCCATAGGATGTTAGTGGTTTAGAGTAACAGGAAACCTGAGGAATATCATAAATCAAGCTTTTCTGACTAGGTATTTGTACAGAGTATAACAAAATGTATTGAATAACTTAAGTATGTGTGAGCCTCCTGCCTACCAAATTACTGGGGTCTGCCAGTGGAAAGCACACTAATTTGATGTTGGCCTCAAACAGAAAATTGTTAAACGAAAATTAGTTTTCAGCATTTAAACAAAAAAATCAACATAGAGTTCAGTGTTAACAGCAGCCTAAGGATTTAACTAACTGTAATAAAAATAAAGAGAGACAAAATTCTTGACTTTCTAAGCCCTAGTATTGAGAAAAGATTTCTACTTCTGGATCCCAACACAGCACGAGGGATGAAGAATGTACCAAAGGGTGGGTTTTCTTTTCTCTCTACTGTCACACATTTTATAAGGTCATAGGCTGACATTTTGTACTTTTCCACACTTCTATTGACTTTTATTAAGAACAACAGAAGGTTCTGGGCCAAAGTTATCTAATCCATGACAGGGTTTTAAAATATTAAGCTTCCTTAATATTTTAATATTTGATGTAAGGACATCAAAAGGGGCTCAGCTCAGAAGTCCTCTCACCTGGTCTGCTGGCTCTGCCCTGGACAGTGCAGGACACATAAGGGGAAGTATGAGAAACACATCTGAGCTATTTCCCATCTGGGAGCTGTTTCCAACCCTGGCTGATGTAAGCAATCACATTTCAGTGATGCCCTCGGAGATAAACTTGTCTATGGCAGTGCAGCTCCCGGTCTAACCAGCTGAAATTAGTTATTGCTAATTGATTCACCTATGGCTTTAATTAAAATATTATCTATTCTCATTATGCAATTAAAGGTCCTAAAAGGTTGTCTGTCTTTCTCCCAGCTCTTCTCTACTCACGTACATAAAGGAAGTACAAGAAGCTGACTGCCTTTTTTTTTTCTCCTTTTAACAGTTTGGTTTTTGGGAAGCACTAATTCTAAACTTCCTTCAGTTTCCTCCTTTTGACCATTTTGTGGAGACATTCATGAAATGATGATGTGCTCTTGTTCCATGAAGTGTGGATCCTGCATCAGTGCCTCAGCATCTACACCGTCTCAGATGCCCGTGTTTTCCTTTTCAGAAACCACTGCAAAGTCACTTTTAAACTTACTAAGTTAATAGACATAAGGTGGATTGGCCCAAGTTTTACCATTTCCTCCATAATATAGACGGGTTTTGGTCAATCTGATGCACTCTGTTTCCTGCTCTTTCTCCATGGTTTCGATATATGTTATACATGTACATGGACCTCCTCCTATACCAGCTTCTTACAGCTGTGAGAGCAGTTAATACATTGAATGTTAGAGAGAGCTCCTACTTGAAATGTACCCACAGGCCTTAGTCCTGGGCCATATTTCTTATACTCCTTTTTAAATACATATATTGGTTTCTGGCAGAGATACAGGGAGCGAGTGTGGCGTGCAGCATGCAGCGTTTACCAGACTGT